TCTCTCTCTCTCTCTCTCTACTATATATATATATATATATATATATATACCCTATATTTACAGAGCACTCACTGTATTATGTATACTGTGTATGTGATAATGTGTCTGTGTTTTATCACAATGTGCAACATGTTTTGTTTACAACAATTTGAACGAAATTACGTCGGGGTAAATATGAAAAACACCTCATATTCTACTTTCTTGTTTCAAATTTCACCTCTTTGTGAGTATCGTTCGTCGGTTGTTCGGGTTTTCTCAATGTAATGCTAGAAAACAACTCTTTGTAATAAGAATATCTCTGCGGCTGTGCTTTTTTAGCTCTGTAACTTGCTAACTTAGCTTCCACTTCCATGAATGTCGAGCCGGAAATTGGTGGCGCTGAAATCCGGATCTTGTTGTTCGTTAATTTTTGTTTAGACTGGTACTCGCTCCCACCTCGATTACTCAATGGGACCAATCGATGTTCCCATCGAGTAACTAAGCCGAGAGGTGGGACCGGGCACCAGTCTAATTTTTGTTACGGTTACGAGTGCCATCTACCGTGAGCGGTCGACCGTAAATAATTACATGTAGGCCTACACATTTTGGTTTGTATTTCACTTATTTTGGTTATTAGTAATACGATTATTGGTGGAATTTGTGCAAAACCTTAACGTATTATTACTAAAAATGGAATGTAGTTCCTCCCCTTGTGTTTAACATATCAATGCAGCGATATGGTTTTGCTTAGTTACAGGTTAAGGAAGTCTGACTGACTACACTCACTGACTCATGCAGTAACACGTACACTCACTGTGACTGACCATGGCATAGATAAACACAACATGTGATGATGTGTTTGTATATCTCTATGAACTGACCTAGCCACATCACAAGTTACCTCACTACGTGGAGACGTCGTACAGCCTGGTCGGGTTATGACTCACATTAATAATCTATAATGACTATATAGCTCTAGTAACTATAGTAGATAATAAATAAACCCGCACCCTCAGATTAGCAAAGCGGAGTTATAACGTCTGCATTTGCGGACTATAGTAACTATAGCCCGCGTACAGTTGCCGCAGGGGTCTATGTCCTCCAGGGTACTGCCGGAACGTATCCTGGGTACAGTCCGGTATACCGGAACGTACCCTGGTAATAAATATTACTATCTAATATGCCGGACCGTACCTACTCGCAGCTAGGGCCTGCATACCTCCCAAATCCCATTGGCATTGGTTGATACAAATCACGTGCCTGAAACTCCTGTTTTAATAAAACTTTTATGGTGCATTGTCACCCTAACCCTAACCCTAATCCTAACCCTAACCCTAACCCTAACCCTAACACTAATTACAATTTAATTTAAACAAGTGCCGCGGAGCGACAGCGCTCATCTAACGTCTACTGCGGTGACTCTGTGGTGGAGTGGTTGGATTCTAGTAAACCCTGTTATTCCCAAATGTGTTCACATACACGCCGAAACAGTGGAATGCACAGGGATGGTATCAGGAACCTTCTCAAAGGAATGTTCGTTGGGATCGTTATGAAAGTTGCCATGAGATGGACACTTAAACGTACGCGTACTACGTACGATGGGAGCTTCCATCTTTAATCTGAAGGCAACAACTATTTGCAAGACAGAATAGGTAAGCACTCGGATGGAAGCTCCCATCATACGTAGTAGCAACAACTATTTGCAAGACAGAATAGGTAAGCACTCATCCATTTACCTACGCAAGCCT